GAGCAAGGCTATGGAGCACATGGCTGAGGAGGCCTCCGCGAAGGACCGTACGGGCTGGTTCAAGCGCACGCAGTGGGACGAGCACCTGCAGGCCTACCCTAGCCAAGATAAGGGCGCGGGGAGGACACCAAACCGCAGCAAAAGAGGCTTAGCGTTAGGGTTTAACCCCTTTTAAGCGATCTGCTTTGGTGGTCCCCTCTACAATATGACACGACAAACTAGGCCTAATACACGCTTTTACTAACCTACCCGAGATGACACGCGACCGCGGGGGCGATTTGTCTCTGGAATGGGCTTAGCGCAAGTGTTTTTCCGCTCTAAACAGCAGGTCCTCACCACCAATTTGTTTGGCTGATTTACAAATAACAATATTTATTTTTATTAAACTAATATTAAGAGTTATCTTTATAGTACTGCAGCTACGTTCTGCACTAATTGCAGCATTGTCTAAGCCCCTGTTGCTAGAGCTTAGGGTTAGGGTTAGGGTTCAAGAGATGGAGTTCTGCTGGCCCGCATAGCTGTCTGCTGCGCAAGCTAGCTGAACAACAACTGCAGACAGTACACCTGTGCATCAAGCAGCACAGTCACACAACGCGATTGAGGATGCAATCTGCTATCTAGCTGCGCATGCTGTTATTGTCTGCAAGCAGCATGCTACTGCAGTACAAAATCTAGACGCGCATCTACGCGACTACCACAATGCACTAAAGAGACTACACAGAGAGATTGCAGAGAGCTATTAAGGCAAGACTGTCTTGCACACAAAGCAGATTATCTTGCCTAGTCTACTAGGCCTGCCAATTAAGGAGCTTAGCAAGCCGCTTAATAGCTTTTAATGCAGCAAGGAGGACTGCAGCTTTATTACTATTAACATAAACAAGATGCGCATGCACTACAAGAAAGAATATAAGCTACTGTGGCGAGGCAATAATAATGCACTGTATTAGAGAGTTAAGGTGCAGACATTCTTCTGCACTGGCGGGCTGCAGCGCTATTTTGTTGTGAATGCAGGAGACAGCAGCACAGGAGATAGCAACAGCGCGCTGTCTGCCCCCTGTGATGTAGCAGACAACGTTAAAAGAGAGATGGCTAAGTGGGAGACAGTGTAGAGAGAAGAAGAGCAGAGGATGCAGCTTATGGACGCAGCTGTGGCGAAGACAGATCAGACAGGATGGTTCAAGCGGACAGGCTGGCCGGAGCACTTTGCAGGCCGCAATCTGGCACATCTTGCGCATCAGGCCTGGCTGCCCAATCGAGGCGAGGTAAAGCTGCAGCTAGCTGCTGCACTGGTCGAGGGGCTTGTGGAGAGGAGCGTGTGGGGGCTGTCAACGCTGGACTGAGAGTTGAGATGGTGGTTAAGGAGTGCGAGGCGTGACAACCTAGACCTGCGCCTGCTCGCTCAACTGCAGAACGTGGAGAGTTAGGCTTGCTGCGCAAGCTATATAGTCAGGTTTGTGTGCCACTTTCTGCGTATTATTGCTAACAAGGAGGCCTAAGCTGCATAACAAAGCAGAAGTAAGGTAAGTTAAGTAATAATAATAATAATAATAATAACAAGGAAAGGTATAACAATAATAAAGAAGTAGAAGAGGAAGAGGATAGAGAGGGGGAAAGTAATTGTAGCAGTAACATAGACAGCACTGCATGTAGCTTATAGTTAGTACTGTTAGCACAGTCAGCACAATCAGCACAATTAGGAGAGTTAGAAGACAAGGCTAGAGGCAACAGCAGCAGCTGTCGCCCGCAGCGCAGGAAGAAGAAGATAGACTACATGAAGGATGCGCGCGAGCTGTTCTGCTGGCAAGGCTCGCAGCGCTTGCGGGCAATGCAGCTGTGGGACGCTTTAGAAGGTGGCGATCAAGGTGCTTAGATGCAGGGATTGCTTAACACGCTTACGGCGTTCTTCTTTGCTTTGACAGGCAGTAAACTGCTCAGCAACAGGCTTGTTCACTTTCTTGCCGTGCTAGGCATTGACGCAGAGCTAGGCCGCTTGCGCACGGCGAAGAACTACTTGTACATGCTTGCTGGCGTGGTGTACTGCGTGCGCGTGCTCAGCGTAGAAAAGCTTCTGCTGCATGCGTGCCGCGATGAGCAGACTGACGAGGACCAGCAGCAGTTCTTGACAGCAAGAAAGCAGTATCTGGCCGACGGCTCGTACAGCCCAATGAGCGAGACAATCAACATGCTGGCATATGGCAAGCACGTCGCGCTGGCAGCAGGCAACGCAGGCAATGCGTACTGGTCACGGGACAAGAAGATCTTCTACTTGCATGGCCAGCAGGTCTACGTTAGCCGCTTTTAGAAGATGGCGCAGGACATAGTTATAGAGGCAGAGCAGGTGCTGTGGCAGGAACTGTGCTAGGTGGTGAGGAAAGAAGAATAGTTTACTGTTAAGCTAGACAAGGTTGTCAACAACGTCTTGTTTACAAAACGCTAGTATTTATTTATAGAGTAGGTTAAGAATAGGCTTAGTAGTAGGCTATAGTAGATACTCACACAGGCAAAATAGACAGAACAGGGCTGCAGACTATACTTAAGTAATAGCAAGTAGAATGTGAAGCAGGTTAGGCGGTACTTGCGTTGCGTAGACTACTTCTTAACACTGTTGCTTCTCTGCGTGCACATGACGTCCAGACAGCCAGGCAGAGGGTTAGAGGTAACAATGATGCGCTTTTAGAACAGGCAGCTACAAGACTGCAACATCTTTATTATTAATAGGCAGGTAATGACAGTTGCCTGCTATTATAAGTCGCAGTTGCAGTGGGACAAGCTAAAGGTGGTGCTGCGCTTCTTGCCGCTGCAGCTGGGACAGGTCATGGTTGTGTATTTGGCGTACTTGCGCCTGTTTCGAGAGTACTTGACTGTGAATGTGCTTGGCAGTGGCTTCAGCGACTATGTGTGGGCGGACGAGCGTGGGCTGTGGGGGACTGACCGACTGACGCGGGCGCTGCAGCGCGAGACGGGCAAGAGACTTGGAGTGGAGCTGCACACGCTCGACTACCGGCACACCGCTGTCGGCATCAGGAGGGAGAAGGTAGGGCCGGCGTTCGGCAAGGGCTATCAGGACAAGATGGGTGAGGTGGAAGAGGCTGAGGTAGACGAAGGAGAGGAGGACTTGATAGAGCTGCAGAACGCGCGGACAACGGCGATAGGGGTGAGCAACTACAGCGTGCTAATTGACATTGTGAAGCATCTCAGCGCGCGCTCAATTGAAGCGTTCCAGACGCTCAGCAACGCGTGGCACAGCTTCTTAGGGCTAGAGAAGCGTTAAGCACCACAGGAGGAGACGTGGACAAGCAATGTGGACGCGAGCAGACGAGCGAAGAAGCAACAGCGTATTAACAATAATAGCAAAGACAAAGAAGAAGAAGAAGGAGAAGAGGAGGAGGAGGAGGAGGAGGAAGAGGAGGAAGAGGGGGGCAGAGAGTTTGTACGGCAACAGAGACTGTTCTAAGTCAGCAACGTGAAAGAGACAGTTATCTGCAGGGCAATGTAGCAGGTGCTTAGTTAGGAGGAGGTCAGCTTTAGGTTGGTTAAGCAAGAGCAGGCACTGCACGCGGTGATGGACAGGCAGACGCTGCTGGTGGTTGTGCTGCTGACGGGCGGAGGCAAGAGCTTGCTGTTCAGCGTGCCGGCTTGCTTGACAGACGCTGGGGTGACGGTGGTCGTGGTGCCGTATCGAGCGCTGATGGAGGACTTGGTGAGCCGCATGCAAAAGTGCGGCATCGACTGCATTGAGTGGAAGTACAGAGAGAGCAACCTAGCGAGCGTGGTTGTGGTCAGCGCAGACATGGCTGGCAACACAAGAAGCAACAGCAACTTCATAGGGTACGCGAACATGCTGCACAGCAAAGGGCTGCTGCGGCGGGTGGTGGTGGACAAGTGTCATCTCATCTTCACGTCGAGCGAC